AAATATGTGCAACAAATATTATAAGGAAATTTCAATGAACGTATTAAATATATTTCTTTATTATTAACCTATCGATATTTTTGAGTTGATTTCTTTAAAAGTTGATGTTGCGTGTGTCAACATAATTTTCGTGTCAAATTAACGTAGATGAATAAATTAACTCACTTATTAACTAGTCATTAAAAAAAATTAAACGTACGTGCTGTACATGTAAACTTAACATAATATTTGTTATTTGTATTAATTTTTTTTTTTTTTTTTGTGTATAAATAAGATCATACAAACAAAATAATTTCAGTTTTCAGTGATAATAAAATTTAAAAAGTAATTGTGTCGCTTTTATTATAAAATGAGTTCGGCTAAAGATAATACTTTTTTTGATATCAATAATGAAAAAAATGTACATACATTTTCAAAATGTACATTTATATTTGTTCTTATAATATAAAAATATTTAAAACGACTCTCTTGAAAAATGATAAAAATTGACTTACACTACTTTCGCCCTAAACCTTACTAATGTAAATTTGAAATTATTGTTGTGCCTAATCTTTAATATTAAAAAATTGTTCATAATAAATATAATTTTAAAATTAATTTCAGTGAATAAAAATCTAATAGACGATAGCGTAAGTAACTCCGTTTGCATCCATACGATAAATAAATAAAAAAACTCCTGCTCATTTACTCCCGTGGCATTTTGATATATGGGCAATATTTGTCAGGAAATACCTAACCGGGTTAGGTGTCAAAATCACCCAAGGTGAAAATATTTATGATGCAAAGATTTCGATTATGCGGAGTATTAAAAATCTCGCCTACATAAACTCCATTATTGGTGGAATTGAAAAAAATATAAAAATCTGTTGATAATTCTCCCTAATAAATATTCTTACATTACATACATAATTTCCAAATTTTTAGGAGACAGGTTAATTTTATTTTTGAGGAGACAGCCCCAAAGCTTACTCTTAATTCCGCTTATGTTCTCCAAATCCTGAAAAATTCTAAGCCATCACTGAAAAAGTATATATTAAGGTGCCCAGTATAGTAAAAATATCTAAATCCACCTTGTAACACGTTATTTATTTACCAATTAATGTATCGTATAATCATTTACATTGGTGTTAAATTTATTTCATATTTGATGCGTATAGTAAAAACATTACACGTGTAAACGAAGTAAGATAAGCTAATAATGCTGTAAATCAAACATTTTATCACAATGATCAATCATTGTTATAGTAGAACGTTTAATAATGAATAAATTCGCATAATAGAAATATAACGAGCATGATTTTTATCGGCCTTATTATTTTTTTTTTTAATTATTTACTTATTAATTAAATATACTCGATCAATATAGAAAACGGTCGTATAGAATTAAGTCAGAATCTATCAAAATTTTATGGCAATTAATATTACCAAATATGCCTGTTCACCTTCCATCCAAAAAAGAACCTTACTGACAAAAATCATAAAATAAACTATTGGCATGCAAATCTGTAAACTATAAAAAACAAGGTGTTTTTTTAATTATAAACTAATAATTAAATATTATTTATTAAACGTTAGTGTAAACCAGATTTGTTATCAAGGAAACTTCAGGGACAACTCATTAAGTAAATAATTATTTTTAAATATATTATATAATTTATTAGGGTTCGTCAACGATATATTTTTGGATATCGTACCTAATTTCAGCAATATTATATCGAAAAAAAATTAATATTCAAAAATTAAATTTAATATTTAAATATATTTCACCGTTTTTTTATTTTCAAAAATATTGTGAAGTAACATTGTTGCAAAAATCAGAATATAGTATACCAACCAAATCAGATAATAATATAAATATAAAAATATATAGATAATAGCTATATTTCATAACAGTAATCAAATATTTTCAAATTACTTTTTATTATGAAGAAATAAGTTTTTTTTCTTACATGACTTTATTGTTATAAATTAGTAATATTAAATTGATGAATTTGTTTTTTAAAAAATTCAATATTTTTAATTATACTATTATAGTTTCAGTGTTTTGGTTTAAAATAAAAAAAAATTACATTAAAGTATGTTTATTTTTTTTATTGCTTTATGTCATATTTAAAAACAACTTTTCTTCTTTTCAAAATAAAGTATCTTCATTTTCATCACTATTATCTAATAGGGATTTTTTTTTTTTTGGCTCAATAATTTTATTTTATTTTTCAGATTGGTTTTAACCAGTTTTTGCTGTATATCTTCTAATTTTGAAATTTTTTTCTCTAATTCTCTTCGTACCTTACTTTTTTTGTGTTTTGTTAAAAATAGAAATAACAAAAATGTCATAATAAAAAACCTTATCTAAGAAAAGAATTTTGTATCAATAAATATCATTTTTCGTCTTAAATCAATTCTATATTTCATAACTCAAAAAGTGTTTACAAGATTATCGCGAACTGTTTTTGGCCTAATGTCAAATAATATTTATTTTATAACTAAGTACCAAAATTCAAATAGTTTTTTTTCAAAAAAAAATTTTTCGATTATCACGATATTTAAAAAATAATAAAGAACAGTTATAGAAATGAATATTAAAGGAAGAAGAGGTAGAGGAAGACCAAAAAAGAGATGGAGAGTTGCTATTGAATGCGACTTGAGGACAGCTATAGTGAGCGTAGATAATGTGGGAGATCGTGTCAAGTGAAAGTTTAGGATAAGGGTGGCCGACCCCAAGTAGTTGTGATTAAAGCGAGGAAGAAGAAGAAGATTTAAAAAATAATCGATATTCTGGGAAAAATGAAAAAAGTCAGCGATATCGATATCGTTGACGAACCCTATTATTTATTAAAAAACATCCCAGTCTTGTCGGAACTTTAAAATATCCTATTGTTCTAAAAGAGTTCATAAAGAATTAAAAATGAAATTCCTTAACTCAATTTCGATACTTTAGCATGGATACATGTTTTCTTTATAATTTTTCCAAGATAATACTAATCCTATTGTAGATACGAAGGTCTCCCTTTTCACTTGACAAAAATTTAAGCACGTTTGATTCTTTTGTTGAGGGAACAATAGCTTAAAAAAATTGTTTTATATAATACCTAGCGGTACACTGTGCGGTTTGCTGAGGTCAATATTTTATTGACGTGGTTACTGTAATTTTTACAACATAAAATGATCAAACATGCGGTCACTAAACCTCAGCACCAAGTTCACAGCAAGTTTTTAATCATAACATTTGCTCCGAAAATATTATTGATTTCTATTGAATTTTCTTTTAAACCGAAGCCTATTAAATGTAAATGAACGTTGTACCAGTCATTATTATCATTAATATTATTATTATTTAATCATGTATAACACGTTTTAAGCAAGAGGTTTTTAATCTGATCTGATATTATTAACAAGTCCAGTTTTCCACTGCCCCTGGTATTTATAAATAACTTTTCTTTTTAATAAGGATATTGTTATTTCACACCTACAAGCTATGTATTTGATGTGATGATAATAAAATTGTATAATTAAGGATTTTAATATTTTAATCAATTTTTTATTCAAAGTTTAAGCACTAAAAATGTGTTGACCAAAAATGCTTTATCTCGCATTAAATAAATTTGTTTATATATGCGGTTGGTGAATACATAAGTATGGAAATCTTCCAAAAGCCGAAAATAGAAACGAAATAAAAATAATCTAACTGTTAATGACCATCATAAAAAATACACTCAGGGTTAACGTCTTAGATAATGAAAAACATAGGTACATCTTTCTTAATTATTCATTTTAATTTTATTTTGTGTACAATATAAGTTTGTGATTTATATAATTAAATAATATAATTTGTGTGAAACACAGAAATGCATCCCTGAGAATATTTTGACACTTAAATGTAGTTGTGAGAAAACACAATATAGAAGAGGCAACTATGAAGACATTAAATTTTTTTCTACTCTGAAATAATCTCTTCAGCTTTTCTGCTTGACCTAATAACATAAAAATAAAACTCTACTTAAGAAAAAGTCATTGGAAGTTTGGACTTCTTAAAATTTTGTATAAACTGTTGTCAGTATCGCAGTAAAATAAAATAAAATGCGCTACTCAATATTTTTGTATCTAATGGTTTGAAACAGTCTAAAGTTATACTACTTTAGCCGTCTGTTTGTTTTGTTCTTTTAGGTTTACATTTAAAATCTGTAACGGTTTGCTAGTAAACTGTTGAAATACTGTATTTCTGTTTTTACTTTCAATAATGTGTTCATTGTATGTGCTTGCCAGAAAATATTCCAATCGTGCTGATTTGAGCTATTCATTGGCAAAACTATTTTATCATTTAAGGCGTTGTTCATTGTAGTGTTCGCCGATAGGAAAAAATCTTGTTTCTACCCACGCATATACATTGTAAAAGCCTAGACCTCATTGAATGGTAAGATGATAAAAACAACTATGGCGCCGTAAACAAAGTATCACAAACAACGAATGTGCGCGCGCACTTGTAGATATTTATAAAAAGCAATAAAAAGTATACAAGTTAACCATGATCTAAGTGTTCGCTAAATAATGTAACCATTTCAAATCAACTACAATATTGTTGCTCGATGGATGGATGGATGGATGGTTGTATATATACATTATTGGCCTTGACCAAGATAATTAAAAAACGGAAAATGTCAATTTAATAATGGGGAAATTAACATTTTCCGTGGGTTGTGTTGACATCTGAAAATCAAAAAATCTAGACCTTTTTAATCTGCACATGTTATTTAATTGATCAAGAAAAAAATGCTTTATATATATGTATTGTATTCAACACAGTATTCGCGATTTACACTATCAAGAATGATAAAACATTCGGAAAGTTTCTTTTTATAGTTTTCTTCTTGTACGGGGCATGAGTTATACATAACTCAAAGGCTATATGTCCCCCGAGAATTGTTATTTCGTGATTAGCATTGATAGAGCTTTGAATATACACAAGCTACTATTTGTAACATTAAAAAATATTTTTGTTCCAGGAAATCTAAGCGCAGTTTTCACGTACAAATGGAAGGGCGAAGATATGGCAAGGATGTTGGAAGACAAGAATAGAAAAGTGGTGGTCAAAATAACTATTGCTAGCCACTGCACTAGACCATATGCTAATATAAACAGGTGAATGCACCGATATAATAAAACATGTTACACATATTATTCGTAAGAGTATAACGGTTAGTAATTCATTACACTTCAACAATTTTACAAAGCGGATTCTTAGATTTTTTAGTTTTTTTATAGACTTTATAGGGTTTGACGAGGGTACGAAATATCAATGATTTGTCAACCGCTAAGTTTATAGCAAAAAGTTTTTTTTTTTTGAATATTTAAACATATTTTGAATATCAAAGAATATTTAGCCTATTTTACATATTGTAATGATTTGAGTGACATTTAGAAAAAAGATAAATTTTCTTTATTTTCTCGAATTACTTTTCTTATTATTTTTAAGATGATAACATAAAAACTTTAATACTGTTCTATAAGTTGATAGTAATACAATTTATGATTTTGGTCATTGTTCTTCGTGGACATTGACGATAAAAATTCAATAATCATCATGATTTCACCAAATATTTTAACCCATAAGAGGATATGTTTGATATGAAAAGTAATATGATACGATAATCTTACGCTTCTTGATATATGTATATATGATATTTTAATTAAATTTTTTTAAATATCAATCCGCTGCAAAAGTATTAAACATTTAAATATGCAGTGGATTGATTCGTATTTTATATTGTTATTTAATTTAAAACATAATTAACAATAAAAAAAGATCCTTGATTCATCACCAAAGAAATATCATTTATTTTATTTTAGATGTATAACACAAGTTTATAATGATTTTATTTTATAGATAAGCATCATTTTTAAAGTTCCTTGAGCACCTATCAAAATAAATGGTGTGCAATAATAATAATATTATTTGACGAAACTTTAATGTGTTATTTTCATTGTTTATGTAATGGTTTTTATTCAACTTGTAGTTGAAACCTTTATGAAAGTTACCTTTTGTACTAGGTATTTAATATTTGGATATTTTTTTTTTGTCATACGTAATAAGAAAATATATATTATATTTGGATAAAACATGTTTATGAATCAAAAACATCCATTTAGTTATTAAAATTTACGAGTTAAGTTAAATAATTTAAACTTAAAACACATATTATTAAAAAAGTTAAAGATTTTCGGTTTTCTTTATATTTTGAACATATTTCATCAGTGTTCAGGGAATATTCAAGAGATTAAAAAGTTTAAAAAATTACACTCTAGTTATCACAAATAGACGGCGGTAAACAGTTTTAATATTTTACAAATATTTTTTTGTAAAAAAAAAAAAGGGAATGTTTGTAAAATGTCAAAATGTTTACATAAGTTCACTGCTTTTTGGAGACAACAATATTTTAATTTAAAAATTGTCTTTATTGATAAGGATTAATTTAATAGCATAATCAATTTATATTTTAACTGAAATTTTAAGTCAAAATAATATTACATATTTTTTTATCATTAATTAATCATGACTTGTCATGATACCTATTAAAACTTTTTGTATATCTTTTGGTATTTTTAATGATTGATGTCTATTAACATTTACAGTTTTAAGCTTAAATTGAAAATTATTTGTGAAATATTTTGTTTTTTACAGTTAAATAAATTAAGAACCATCTGAAAACCTATAAATATGTTTACTACAAAAAAAATCCCAAAAGTTAATTAAATTATAATTTGTTATTTATATTTCAACAGTTCGGATATCAGTTATTGTAAGTTATCAGGTTTTTTGTTGATAAAAAACAAATTTAAATTATACATATTTTTATAAAAGAGGTAGTTTTACTTTTAAAACATTCAATGAAAATACAAGTCTTATAAAACATATATATATTAAAAACTGTTCAGAAAAAATAATTGTATCGTTGTTGATAAAAATGTAATTTTATTAACTGTTAAATACGTATTATTTTAGTATAAATAACAAATTATATCTCTCATTATATAGTTTTTTTGTAGTATGCTAAAATTTATAAAATAATGCAATCTTAATTTTCAATGACATATTTATTTATTTTCCTTTTGAAAAGTTTAACTAATGGAAAACATTAATTTTTAAGATGATTTTTCTTTTAATTATAAAATTTATATAATGACATAGACTGGTAATTAATCTATGTTGGTTTAATTTGAATAGAACTCTAATTTAAGATCAAGTTGCATAATTTTTTCAATTTCAATGAATATTTTTTAATTACATAAATCTAAAAATTTTGATACAATTATTGTTTGTATATATAAGTATAATTTAAAATATATTGATTAATTTGGTTGTGTAACATTATGATGATTCAACCTTATTAAAATTAAAATAGAATGTTATGAGATTAGATTCTCATTAAGGAAGAGGGTAACTAACAATTTAGGTTAAATCGTGAAATTTTTCTTAGTGAGAATGAAAAAAAAATTGAATATTATTACCGCAATATTATTCTGAATATATTTACCTTACAACGTTAACATTGTGACTTCAATTGAACAAATGTATTCATTGGTATTATGGTTATGATTATAGTCATTAATTTAATTATTTGTACATTTGAATTAATCTCTAACTTTCTTACGATATGAAACAAATTAATCAAATTTTTAATTGAAGCAATTATTAGTTTCCACTTTTAATATTAAATGGATAAATTACTAAATGAGCAAGATACATCTTATAAACATTAATGATGTATAATTAGAGATTACCTTGACATTTTTTTCATCACAGCGTTTTTGTTTTTGATGACTATCTACTTAGTAATAGGTATGGCATCAATAACCCCGTTATAATAATATATCATATCATCGAAGGAATTAAAATTATTTAGACTAGAAATAAAGATGAACGACTTATATTATTGTACCGAATTATTTGCTATAAATTATACCTACAGTGTTACAAATTAAATTATTGGTATCACTATAATCAACAGGTGATGTTAGCGAAAGATGAAAGAATGATGTATTTACTTATTTGATTGGTATGCATGTACTTGAATAACTTGAACTTTCTAAATATTGCGTCAAGAAGAAAAAAATTGTCCGTTAGGTATAAAATTTGTCTTAAAATTTTATAGTTAATCAATATAATAAAATATTTACTTTTTATTTAAATTAAAAATGTAATGTATAATGACTTTATTGTATTTGTCATTAAAAGAAACTATTAAAACTAATATTTTTTTCATTATGGAAATGGAACCATTAATTAATTTTTAATATATTTATGTTAAAACACTGATGTCAGAAGCGACGTACTTAAAGTATTTATTTCTGAAGTATGAAATCATGAACAAAAGAAATAAGTTATTTATATTTATTTTTCTATCAAATGATTATTAGGGTCTACTATAGACAATATTATAGGTTAATAATTTTAAAGAAAACTGGAGAAAAATCCAATAATTGTTATGAAACAAAAAAAAAATATTCATCATTCTAAACTTGTATAATTTAATAGATTATTTGTGGAAGGAGGTGCTAGATATTTTGTAGTATACTACATAAAGATAAAAATCATTGTATTAAGTTACACCTATTTCTTATTTAATGTGTCCATAAATCATCTCTCGAACGCATTTATGATGATTAGATTTATTTATTTGACAAGTTTAAATACGGTTTACTTAAAAAGCATGATTATATTTTATTTTTTATTCTTATGTCAAACAGTTTATACCTAAAGACCATTAAACGCGGGACTTATGTAACAGGATAACTATTTTTTTAAATAAAATTGCTGTTGGAGTAATAATTGCTACAACAATAATTACCTTGTCAATTTTATTTACTCTGGACTCTTTTAAAATTAACTTGCATTATAGTTTTTTAAATTTTATTTGAAAATTAGTTTAATAAATTATTTTTGCTACTAATCTAAGTGTTATATATAAATGTTTTTCAATTTTTACAATGAAAATAGCGCCATAGTCATAGTTTTGCTTTGGCGGCAAAGTCCCCTTAAAAATAATATATGGTGCGTTATAAAAATATTTTGTATTTATTTAAAATTACAAATATTAAGTAAAACTAAAATATATTGAAAAATATATTCTATATAAAAATAAACGCAAAAGCAACAAAAATTACTAAAAAATCGTGAATAAGTATATCGAAAAGAATATTACTGTATCAGCGCAAAATACATATTTACACTCTAACCGAAAGATACACTCTTTTATCCTTCTAGTGACGTTATCAAAAAGTGATGTTATCACATTTATTTATTAAGAAATAACGCCCTGAGATGCATAGAGTACATCATATAACTAGATAAATACAATAAGTTAAATTATTAGAATATATGCAATTAGTTAAATATTTCAATATTAAAAATTTTAATTAAACAAATGTAATTAATTCCACTAATAAATAATACATTTAAGCTATACTAAATAATTTGATAAAAAAAATAGAAATCTTTGATTATTAGTAGTAGATATTCAATATATATTAATTGGGTTTATGTAACTATAATTTTGATGGTAAGTTGATATATAAAAGAGGGATTTAGAACTAATATTGCGTGGTGTATTTAAAAATTTAATACAAGAATATAATACTGGTCACTCGATAATGCTACTTATAGTTTTATAAAGAAAACTTCAATCATTAAAAAATCTAGTGGTTCAAGGCTAACTGTTTGGCTGAAGTCTCAAGAGGAGTATTAATTTTTTTACAATTAAATACTAAAATTTTTAGGAACCTATATTAAACGAAATTTTTGTTAAGAATATTAGAATTATTTCTTTTTCAATTAGTTCAAACTCTGTTAGTAATGTGAATTAAAACTTAATAATTTTTTTTTCTTAATAATAAAATAGTCAAAACAGTAACTAACTATTAACAACATTTTGATATAGAGTTTTCACCTGATTTTACTATAAAATTGTACGTTTGTTGTAACAATACACAAATTAAATTATGATTACAGTTCTCCTTTTTTTAATCTAAGTTCACGTCTTAATGACTGAAAATAAAATCAAAAATTAAAAAAATTTATTATTTATTATTTATCAATGAGATATAGTTTGATCCTACTTATCTATGATATGAGATAAGTTAAC